GTCTGCACTGGAATAATGATGCCAGGACAGTGGCATTTATTGTTGAGAGATGCACTTGCTTGAGACATGAGCGGCATTCTGCCCTCTTCGCCTGTGCCCAGAGGAGAACTAACCTGACCCCGCCGCCCACCAGCTGCCAAAATTCTTGAAAGAACAGTATGATTTGGGCCACTCTTGGCCAGAGGAGGGGGGAGGGAGGCTTTTGGCCAGAACCTGGCACTGCCCGTCCCTTCATGAGGCTCCAGTCCAGGGAAGGAAGGCTCCCGATGGATGACCCGGCCCTGCCCGTGGGAGGGCGGCCCTTTTCTAGTGAAAGGGTGCCTTGAGCAGACTTTGTGTTGAGCAGCCAGGCTGGTCTCCTGGCCCGCGCGCTTGAATCTGAACTGCTGGGGCTGCTCTTCTGGTTTTGAAATAGTTGTATGCATGTGGTAGTTACCGCAAATTGCACGTTACATTTTTAATCTGCTTTATGATGGTTCTGTGTATTGCCTTGAGAGGGTTGTTTAGCCCTGAAAAGCAAGAACAATCCAAGACAGGAGGAAAATGCATAGTCGCCATTGGGGTTGGGCAAGACAGGCTTTCTGGGTCTGCCCCAGTTTCATGCCAAGGACAGGTGCCCCTCTCCCAAATAGACATTTCTCTGCCTAACACTGGTTCTTAGCTCCTTGAGAATCCTGAGCGGCAGCAAGTCAGCTGCGCCCATCTGGGTTTACAGTACTCTGGCAAGTTCACACAGCATGACTGACTGTAACTTACTCAGCTCCTGTGGTTTGGCAGCTCGGCTTATGACTCAGTATGCTAAAAGATCCCAGTCTACTGTGGTTTGTTCAAAAATCATGGTTAAGCAAACCAGTGCTTATAGTGGGGCACACCCATAGTTTTTGCTTTGGTCTTGAGCTGGGTGGCCCTTGGTTGCCTCTGACTGTGGTCATTTATTTTAGACCATGATTGCTTTGGGTAGAAGGGGCAGGAGGGTATCTGGATGAGGCCTTTCCTGTGGCCTTGCTGCCCATGGTGTCAGTCAGTCAGCCCAGATGGGGGCAGGAACTGCTGGCGAGGGTTTGGGTGCCTGAATGGTCAGCATGCAAGGTATTTTACTGACTTCCTACA